GGGGGCCAGGGGCGGGGTGGTCCGCCCTGCCTCTCCGCTGGGCTTGGGCAAGCCGGGTTGTGCCGTCGGTGCCGGGGCGGGCCAGGCTGCGCCGCCTCCCTGTGCATACGCCGCCGCGGGGAATACATGGGTGCGGCGTAAACACGGACTTATTTACAAAAATACAATTTTCCACAGGTTATACTTGGGTGCGGCTGATACCCGTGAGTGGGGTATATGTGTGAAAATACGGTACTCCTGGCCGTGTCACATATGCCCATGTGGATGAGGAGCATGGGGTAGTGGTTGGAGGGCCAGATGAGCCTAGGGATCCTCTCTGCAACATCCTGGATGCAGGCCCCAGGGAGGCAGCAGATGCCATGGGCTAGGGGCTCCGAACGGCAGATGGGTCCCTCGGTGTCCCGCACGAGGGAGTTCCCCGCCCCCAACATCTCCTCTTGGGGGTGGCAGTTTGCTGACTACCCACCTCCTCCTCTGGTGTCACCTTTTCATGCATGGTGAGGAGAGCATACCTGTTGTGCAATGCCAGGGGAGTGGCAGCCCTGGCCCTGCACGTCCTGGAGCCTGAGACGACCATCTTCCAGGTAGCTCCAGATGGGTCTTTTTTTTGCCAGTCTTCTTGCTGGCCACCTTCTCCTCTATCTTCTTCTTCATTTAGAAGAGCCTGACTGTAGTAGTAGGCCCTAATGACATGCCTACCTGGGCTTGGAGCTCATTCACCTGGGACTCCACAGACCTCACTAAGGAGCATATACCACAAGTGGGGGTGACCTTGCACCCATTCCCAGTTGCTGGCAGCCGTGCCAGGCAGCCCCCACAGCCTGGTGCCAGGGGCTCCATCTGGGTGGAGGCCTCAGTGGTGCAAGGGGAGGGAGCAACAGCTGAGGCGGGAAGCTGCGGGGTGTGATGCATCCCCACCATTCTATGGTAATAGGCTATGCTACTACCCACAAACTGGCTTAGGAACTGGCCTGCAAACTGCTTCTCCTGTTTGCAGTCCCTGTTCACTGGCTCCCTGGCTACAGGCGAATTAATCCAGTCTGGTGGAACGTGGCAATTGCCACACTCAAGCAGCCTCCTGCATCTCGTGTTTCAGCATCCCTGTGCTTAAAAATGGTGGTGGGGAGCTTGAACTAAAGCTCGTCGAATGAGCTTTAGTTCAAGTGCCCCTGCTGCCACTTTAAGTGTGAGCATGGATGCTGATACAGGAGACATGGTGGCGCTTTAATTAGACCGGCTCTGACCAGTTCTAATTAAAACGCCTCCCCCCACCTTTGGAGCACATGTAAAAGAAGAACCCGATGATTCTAAGTTAAAATATTTTTGCACCTGAGAACAATGTATAAGTGAGCCCCAGTAAGGAAGAGTTTTTCACCTCCATTGCTTATTTATTTCACTATATTTTGTACATCATCTCAGGCACTGTTCTGGGAAAGCCCTCACTATTGTCCAAAGCTAAAGAGTTCATATGTATTCATTTCCAGATGCTGTTACTAGATGGTTAGCAATAGCAAAGTTGTTTCTTAAAATTTTTGACTAGAAAGTACTCCCTCTTACCTGGATCTTTCATAAGATTCTGAGTGGGCTGGGCAACTACCCTCAAGCCCACTATCTGCACAAGAGCTGTCAAATTCCTAATCTACTATGCCTTGAAAACATTTTATGTTCTAAGCATTACACTGCAGAGTAAAGATTAGTTTATTTATTGTGGATTTTTATATATATCATATTTGACAAGAGCCTGCAGAAATTGATCACTCTAGAGAGAATAATGTCAGTTAATATTTATTATTCTTGATACCCTAACAATCTCAACGTTAACAGTGAAGAAAAAATACTAAAAATGACCTTTTAAATGTGTTACTACCTTGAATATTCATTACATTCAAACAAATAGACTTTAATAAGACTTATCCAACAAAAACCTATTTATTTATTTCAAACACCAAGATACAGAATTTTTCAAGTTTTGCAAATATTGCTCCAAAGCAAAATTCTATATACAGCGCCCTCGGTTCTAATAGTGCATAAACAAAGACAAATTTACTTATGCATCCACAGTGCAATGTTTGCTCATTTCATCAAGGCTCCATGTTGTATTTGCTTACCAGTGATTCAAAAAGAAACAAAAAAAGTGACTTGCCAGACCAAAGTAGTGTTGGTCCAAACTACAGCTTAATGTAGAAAACCGCAAAATGAGGGATAAAACAACCAAGGCAGAGCACAATGCAGAAACTTTTCTGAATGTGACAAGCACTAATTTATTTTAAATAAATGTTTTCAGACTTTACTATAAAGGGGCTTCCTACTGCATAAATGATCTGCTAGCAGAAAACAAAACTTCAGTACTTGATACTCAATTCACCCAATGGAATTTTCTTTTTCTGCTACTCTTAAATATTGCCCTGAGCAAAAATTTACTGGCAAAAATAAGTAGAATGAATGTACCAACACCAGTTATTTGGAAAGGAGAACACTCTATTTGAAATGAAAGCCAACTCAGGAGATTATTTATTCCACTCCCTTTAACTTTAAGAATGTTGATTTATTATTTGTACCCAATACTGACTTCCTAGTCTGAGAGTTCATTTTACAATTTTCAAACAGGAATTAATTTTACTGGTAAAACTCAGTAACAAAACAACAACAAAAAATCCCTTTGAAGCTATTGCTTAAACTCCTTGTTCTGATACAATTTTTATCCTCTGGTTGTTCTGTTTATTGTAAAGCAACACAATGTATTATCATAATTCACATCACCTAGAAAAATGACACATATCTTAAGCATTTGTTTTTCCCTTCAGAATTAATTTATATTTAAATATAAGCTTTATTCCAATCATGTTACAGCAAAATAAACTTATTGTTCTGCTGTTCATCTATCAAATTAATTATATAACAATTAGTGCCAACAACTGGGTGCATCTACACGTGCGATTAATGCACATGAATAAACTCCGGCCCTTATTGCTCTGGAGCTTTTTGCTCCTGGGCATGCTGTTTGAATGTACACCTGGAAGCAAAACATTTTGGACCATATTTCTCCAGAGTTTATTTGTGCGCAGCATGTGAACCCTGGTTGGTACAGCCCGGGCTGGCAAGGGACTCAGGGGGTCAGCCTGCCAGCTCAGGGCTGCTCCAGCTGAGCTTCATGTGCTGCAGCAGGGCTGGGTGAGGCACAAGCCCAGTCAGAGCAGGCTGATTTCCCAGATCCCTTCTTAGCCAGGGCTGCTCTGACCAGGCTCCACATGCTGCAGAGCAGCTGGCTGAGGCACAAGGGTGCTTCAGTTTTGGGGCTGCCTGCTGGCTAGCTGCGCACTGAAGTACCCTGTGCCCCAGCCAGCTGGGGCAGCATTTACACATGCGTTGCTGTGTATGAAAAGATTCTGCAGCAGGGTAATATTTGTATTTTACAGGTACTACCCTGCTGTGGAGTTTATTACTTTTGTGTGCCCTAATAGGGGGATACATGTAGACAATGAGATGTTACTGCGCAGTTAATTAGTCAACTGTGCAGTAAATGTCTTGTGTAGACACACCCCCTGGGACAAACTATTCCCTGAAATGAATGCTGGCAAAGAAGCTTTAGTTACTACCTTGAGTATCTTATTCCATTTTTGAAAGGAAACAAACTGGTAACAATGTTCACTGTAGATACTGTTGCTCCTATGATAATATTGGCTATTTCAAGTTTACATACTAAATCTTTATTTTCTACAGCATATGCACATTACAGATGTATATGTCCATAATTAAAATGTGTACACTTATGGGCTTTCCAATTACAACTGTGCTTCTATTTTAACCTTTGGTGGAACTACCATAAACAGAACTGTAGACAAAATCAAGATAACAGAAAAATCCTTTTTTAGGATACCCTCTCTCAATACCAAAACAGATCATCATTTTCCATTGTGAAGTTACACGCAGCAACATTTGGGGGGAGGAGGTGTGGGGGAAAACAAAATAACAGTTATTATTTATGGAGCTATAATCTGCAGTTAAAAGGCTTTTAACATCTCAAATACTTACAATATATCAACATTTCAAAAAGTATTGTATAGCATATCCTCAACTTAAGCAGCATTTTCATCTTGATGTCAAAATAATACAAACCAGAAAATTAAAACTTCTTAAGGTATAAAAAGGGACTTCAAAAACATACACTCTTTAACATAATACCAGCTCACTGTCTGTGAGACAGTACCTCATGCATAGATTGAGGTTTTATTTGCATAAATATAAAATAAACCAGTTCCCAAAACTACACATTCATAGTGAGTCTTTACAATGAGCACATCTAAAATATTGAAAAAAGTCTACAGTTCAAAATAAAACTGGAATGACAATTATTAAGTTGGTATAAAACAGACATAACATCTACTCAGACCTTACTGAAGATTGGAACTTTGAGTGCATCTCCCCTCTTTTAGAGACAGAGCATAGGTTGCCCCCAAGAGTATCCTGTTAGCACTAGTTCAGGAGGCACAGTTTGGCCATATTTAAAGATTCAGAAACACAAAATCATTACCATAAATGGGTCTCCCCAGTACCATAAAGTTATGGGATACTACCATGATAAACATGGAAAGCAATCGTTTACTATGAAAGTAAGTGCAACCCAACTCCAATCTTCTGGTACATCTATTTAAAATAACAGAAGTGGGGCTTTAGGCCAGGATTACTTGCAAACCTCCATGTAACAGCTTATAAGAGTTGGACATTCATACTTATTATGCCTGAAAATTGGTGTAACATCTCATATTGATTAAATACTGTGCTATGCATAAACCAGTAGGAATAAAGCATGAACAATCACTATACAAGTCACTTAAATAAACTCTATAGAACATAATTTATAACCTGTGTCACCTAAACATTTTTGGCTCTTAGAACTCTGTTCTTTAGTGGCACAATTTTAAATCCATTTAATTATGCAAAAAAGTTTATAGTATCATTCAACAAACTTCCTGTAAAGAGTGAAAAAAAATCTACTACTATAATCTATTAGCCTGTTCCTAACATTTGAAAACAAGGGTAAATCCCCTTCCACGTTGTTAACTAATAAACCCAAACAATCAAAAGATAAGGAAAACCTAGTTTGTTACTGCTTTCTGAACAGTAAAACTTCTTCACAAATCCCTGAAATCTGCATCACATGCAATCAGCATGCTTATTTCATTTAAATATATAGCAGTGCTCATGTTCGTATGTTCCATGTTCATATTCAATAGCAATTTCCAAGATCTTTCTTGTCTCACGTTGAGGAACACAGTGCAATTTGCTGCACCTTGCCTAGGTCCATAAGAAGCTGTTTTATACAATGTTTAAGTTGTGGAAGTCTAGCTAGTGGTTCTGGCGGTTCCAGCTCTCCTGTGTAATCCAACCAACTTTCCAAAACTGCAAAAACAAACAACGCCCCCCCCAGAAGGTGTTAGTACTGTTCACTATTTCAATTTGAGTGCATAATATACATCGTCACAACAACAACTATTCTTGGAATCAATATATTTTTGAAAGATAAATACAGTACTTTTAACATACACAATATTTAAGAAATCAGAAAAGAAAACTTCATATTAAAATCTATGTGGGATATCACAAGTAGCAACTGGATAGATATAGGATTCTCATGTACCAAATCAATCCCTTCACCTCTGAAAGAATTATAGTGCATGCCCCTGTATGGAGTGTAAACCATCCTGACATTATACTAACCTGAGGATCACCATGGATACCGAGCATCAGCCTAGTAATAAATCTGACAACGGGTAGAGTTAAAGGGGAATTACCGAGCTGGACGGTGGGTACTGGTGGAATCTGTCTTGGGACTAGTAGATACAATATGTTCATTAACGACACTAACATAAAAGGTTCTATGAATAAAATTTGCCAGTGATACCAAGTTAGTTGGAATAATCAATGCAGAAAAAGATTGTAACATACAAAAAGAACTGAATGATCATGAGGACTGAAATGGGATAAGGTCAGTACTATATAATATAAGGTCACACACTTGCTGTTAGAAGACTTTAACCTATAATCTGGGACTTCATTAGTTGGAAATTAGAGGCCCTGGGTATATGATATGACCTAGGATATATCAGATGAAGTGTTTCCAGCAGAGAAGAAACATTAAACAGTACTGCATAAACCACTGAGCACATCTCACTTGGAATACTGCATACAATTCTAGTCACATTCAAGAAATACTGAATTCAAAACTGGAACAGGTGCAAGGAATGACTACCAGAATGATCAGGGGAATAGAAAGTTTACATCGTATGAGAAGTGACTAAAAATTGGATTGTTTAGCTTAGCAAAACAAAGGCTGAGAAGGAATATGATTGTTGTTTAGGACTGTATCAGAGACATGATAACCACCTGGGCAGAGGAAGAGCTATTTAAACTACTGGACAATATTGGCACATGGACAAATAACTGGCCATTAATAAATATAGGCTTGGACTTCTTTAAATTTAAACCTACTTTTGAACTTCTTAGATTTACAGTTGCTTCTAGAATAAATACAACATCCCTCCAATGCACTCGGCCCTAGATTAGTGACTTGTACTTGCAAACAAACTCCCACTCAGTACAATAATTTGTGTTTTGTGTTTTCTTTAAATGGTTAAAATATTATATAACAACAAAAAAACCCAACCAGGATGTTACTTTGTGACATTTTAATCATTTTAAAGAAATCCATTATCAAACTTAAAACCTTAACAGGCTAATCCACTACTGTGTTCTATATGCTCTAAACCAGGGGCAGGCAATTATTTTGGGTGGAGGGCCGCTTACCCAGTTTTGGCAGGCTGTCAAGGGCCACATGGGTAGCCCTGCTCCTTGACAGGTGCCCCGCCCCCTGGTCACCATCCTGGAACCAATGTCCCAATGTCTTGGGACCAATGTCCCAGGGCCGGCACCGGTGAGGCCCAAAGCAAGGCGCAGGGTGGCAGGGGTTTGTGGAGCCGGGATGGGCTGCACCAGCAGGGAAAGGGGGGACCTAGCCCTGCTTCACAGAGCCCCTGCCAGCTGGGACCCTGCGCTCCTGCCACCCTGCTGTGGGCCCCGCCGGCATGGGCCCCAGGACACTGGTGTGGGCCCCTTGCTTCTACCGGCTCCCCACCCACTCT